TCAATTTCTTCGAAACAAAATACATGGCTGCAGCTCCAGCATATTTGGCAGTTATTCTCTCCGTAAAGCTGAAATTACCTGTCCTTAGTATAAAATAAGATCAGACTTGAGCTAGAGGTAAATTAAGGAAAACATTGCTCTAAAAGGCACCCAGGCTTTAACTAATATGAAGGTAGACAAAACAGAACAAGACTTGCAATCAGGCTATGTTGAATAGAGATCAAAAGGAAGCCAACAAAAACTCTACCATTTATTAGCTGCTAGTATGTAGACACTGAAAAAATAAATATGAGAATTCTAGGCAATCAAGTAAAGAACTCTCTAAACTATCTGTAGAAGGACTGAGAATAAGTTCCACGCTTTCTCGTATCCACTACAATTTAGGTACTATACTTTATCAAGCCTAACTTAAATAATACATAAGAAAAACACAGGGAGCAAGGAAGAAAACAATGAACAAGACAAATTCAACTAAACCGAACAGCCACGACTAGTAACACACTGAGCAAGTAACATTTGCTTTTGGTCAAATTTATAGAGGACATAACCTTGGATACAAATCATGATACAGTAGCATTCTATTTCACATGTTTTCATCTTGAATTCTTCAGACCAAATTTAAAATGCAAAACGTAAGACAATGGATGTAATCACACTGTTCAAGTTGTAACAGAAGAATAGTTACTATCGGACAACATCAAGTCTAGCAAAGAAGCAGCAAAGCATCACCTACATCAACTACACTTGTTTACCCCAACTTAATTAACTGAATACTTATAAGATGGATAAAACACCGAAAAGAGACGACATTTTTTCTGGACTAATTAAAGACTCACATGCATCAAAACTTTACTGCAAAAGGTAAGATTAAAGAAAGCTAGACATTTTGATTCAAAGCCATTAGTATGAAAGAAGAAAAGCACCATATTAAATTATCTTCCCAGAATATTGACAAGAGGTCACTACAATCAAACCTTACCATGACTAGTTATGTAATCGAACGATTCAAGAGCTTCTGAGGTATTTCGGTATATGTTAGGTGATAACATGTGCACCAAGTGATCATCCACCCACCTGCATTTGCAAGAATCACGATCTTTAGATAAGACCCAAGTACCTAACAAAGAGCAAAAAGTTTCATTTGAAGAAAGGCTAATTTCCTACGTCAGTTACTGACTTGATTACTTAATTCACAAATATCATTTATCTCAAGAGGAAAACGCTACGGCAAAGTCATAAAACAATCATAAATGGAAGAAGAAGTGCATACTTGCGCCATTTGCTCTCTTCATCGGCATCAAAGGTAGAATCACCAGAACGAACCTTCTCGTATAATTTATCAATAATATCTATAATCCACAGAAAAGTGCAAAAGAAAAGTATTTAGAAGTAACTATAAAAGAGACAAGTACGAATCAGATGTTATATAATCCATTCTATCCATCTTAAATGCAGATATAGTTATCTTATTTTACTAACACTCCAAATGAATAGGATTTCAATTAATTTTACCAACAGTCAAGATGCATCTTGTAATTAGTTGTGTAAAAAAACTAAGAATAGCATACTTATCATCAATAGGTTTACAGCTATCATACAGTGACAATGCGATTAACAGCAAATTTACTCAAAAAATTGAAGCATTCCAGGAAATCGGAAAATATATAGCAAGTACCTGATGAGTTCACCATCTGTTCACCATCAACCAACACAACAGGCACTTTCTTATAATCAGACCACTTGAGTTCTTTTTTGCTGATGGGATTGACCTCAATGATCTTGTATGGTAAGTCATAGTAGTCGAGGAATGCTGAAAAGAAGAAGTTCCAGAGTGAAGGACTATGGTGCATACCAGCTAATAATAATTAATAAGGGGCAGGAAAAAAGAAGGGATCACAGTTTTGGAATCATAAACGTTAACAAGCAGGCAATATGACTACTCAGAGATAAAATTGTCAAAAAAAGTCAATACACCTTCAGAAAACATTCTGTATCAAGAAATCAAAAGTAGTTAAGCAACTGTAAATTCCAACCAAGAATATGAGTATACACTAAATAGTTTACTGAGATGAAGCATACTGTAGAGAGAGAGTAACTTGTTAGTGGGAATTAAAGATGCTAGATATATTGTTTAGGAAGATTCTAGGAATCTTGTTACCATAGAATTACTATCTTATTGTGTCAAGTATCGTACATAGGTGGGGATAGGATCACTTGGTCAACTTATAGACAATCCTCCGCTCATGAGCTAGTTTGGGATTGAGTTAGGGTAAGGGTTCATTTCTTTATCATGTTATCAAAGCAGGACTATCCCAATTTATTGTTTCCAATGTTCAGCCCTCCGTCCTATATTGGCCATGCTCCAGATGTTCAGTACTAGGTGTAGGTGTGTGGCGTGTTGAGTATCCCACAACACTTGGTCTCCCATCATGAGCTAGCTTCTGAGGTTGTTTTAGGTCCAAAGTCTATTCTTAATCGTATTGTCAATGAACCATCTCCAACTATTGACAGATCACAAATGAATTCAATAAGCTATGTGCACTAGGGTGGATACGGGATCAAGTATGAGAGGAATAGTTCTAAATTCAATTCTCCATTTGCAAAAAAGTTCTTAAGCCAAAACTAGATTCTCTTTTAGCCAAAACTATAAGAGAAAAAAGGAAGTAAAGCTCTTGTTTTGCAGAGTAGTTAAAATACAAATCCTATGAGGTTCCAAAGAAATTTCCCAGTCACTTGCTCTCTTTTTCATCTTGATTTTTTTCTCCGTTATTACCCCAATCCTTGCAGCTACGTGCTAATAAATCTATAGGCTACCAGGACAAAAATAACTAGCTATCGTTATACTGTTGAGCTAAGACATTTCTAAATCACGCACATCAGCACAAATAAGTAAGTACAAAATAAACCAAACGGACAAGAAAGAAATAGCTAAAAAGTGAATACCTTTAACCTTGTTACAGAAAGGACAAGCTTCATACTGATAAAGGACAAGATCTTTTGGGCGTAATTCCGGTGGCACTGCTTCTTTAGCGTGGACTTCGTCGGTCAACGTGGTTGCCGCCACCGAGAAAAGCATTGTTCCAGCAACAGCATGAGCTGCGGTTCTAGCAGATAGATCCGTGAGCAAATTGTTGAATAACCAGTTAGACTTGGCAGATGATTTGTTGCTGCTCGTGCTAAACTGAGCCGCCGTAGACATCCGATGCTGCGGCACCTCCACGGCGGCTGCACCCTCCCCTGCCCGGTA